TCTATAAAAGTCAATCAAATTCCATCATTAAATTTGTAAGATGCTCTACAGATTTAACATCAGCAAGTTACTGTATTGCTCACTTCATAGCTCAGCATGGAAAAGCCCTCAGTGATGGAGAATTTATTAAGGAAACATTTCTAAGATGTGCACCAGCTCTATTTCACGATATGAAAAATAAAGATGATATTATTAAAAGAATTTCTGAGTTACCACTCAGTAGAAATACTATCAAAGACAGAATAATAGATCTTAACAAAAACGTACAACATCAATTAAAAAAAGACAAATAGTTGTAAATATTTTTCGATTTCTCTTGATGAAACAACTGATGTCACATCAAATGCTCAGTTGGCCATTAGTGCTAGATATTCTGATGGTCTCACAATAAGAGAAGAGTTGATAAAGTTAGAATCAGTGCCAATAAGTACATCAGGAAACGAAATATGTAAGGTTGTTATAAAAACATTCAGTGACCTAAACATTGATATCTCTAAAATTGTGTCAGTCACAACAGATGGGGCACCAAATATGGTGGGAAGAAATGTGGGCTTCCTGAAATTGTTTATGGAAGCTATTAGACATCCACTTGTACCTTTTTTTTTAAAAAAAAATACATTTTATTGATTTTTTTTACAGAGAGGAAGGGAGAGGGATAGAGAGTTAGAAACATTGATGAGAGAGAAACATCAATTTAGCTGTCTCCTACACACTCCCTACTGGGGATGTGCCCACAACCAAGGTACATGCCCTTGACTGGAATCGAACCTGGGACCCTTCAGTCCGCAGGCCTACGCTCTATCCACTGAGCCAAATCGGTTAGAGCTCCACTTGTACCTTTTCATTGCATTTTCCATCAGGAGGTGTTGTGTGCCAAATCGGGATTCTCAGAATTGAATGATTTAATGTCAGTTGTAACAAAAATTGTAAGTTTTATAGCTTCTTGACCCCTTCACAAGCGAGAATTTTCTGCACTTTTACAGGAAGTTGATTCAACCTACAGTGGACTACTGATGTTCAATAATGTGAGATGGCTGAGTCGAGGTAAAGTACTTGAGCGATTTGTGGAGTGCTTTGAAGAAATTACGGTATTTATTGAGAATAAGGATCTGGCAAACTTTCCTCAGATCAGTGATCATAAGTGGGTCAGCAATTTGATGTTTTTTACAGATCTCTCTGTTCATATGAATGAACTTAACTTAAAATTACAAGGTTTTGGCAAAAGTATTGACGTTATGTTTGTATACATCAAATCTTTTGAAAGTAAACTTAAAATTTTGAAGCGAGATATTGAAACTAAAACTTATAAGTATTTTCTTCGTATAAAAAAGTATTTTAAGAAGGCCACTACGGCAGGTGTAATGGAGTCCATACTTATGTACCAGAATATAGTAAACTCGTTATTTGAACAGTTCAGCGAAAGATTCGACCAATTTAGAAGCCTAGAACAGACCATTAAAATAATTAAGTATCCGGATGTAGTTGTTTACAGTACTTTGGAATTAAAGGATTTCCAATGGATGCAAATTGATGATTTAGAGATGCAACTTGCAGATTTTCAAGGTAGCATTTGGACATGTGTGTGTCGACTTAAGGTTGAAACTTGAAAATCTGGAACGAAATCGTTTGAATAAAGAAGAAGAGTGCAACTACGAACAAGAAATTTTGAGTGCTTGGAACAGAGTACCTGACACTTTTAGCGACATAAAAAATCTAGCAATGGCTTTGCTAACAATTTGTCATCAACATATTTTTGTGAGACTTTGTTCTCAGCATTAAATAATATTAAAACAAACAAAAGAAACTGGCTAACAGATGAAGTTAGTGGCGCTTGCTTGGCCTTGAAGTGCACCAAGTACGAACCTGCAATCGAAGAATTAGACAAACTTCAGCACCAAAAAAGTCACTAATTTCTAGTTTTCGTACCATTTGATTATCATTGTTTTTATTATAATTTTTTTTCCTAAATGTACGTTGTTTTTCTGTTTTTGTTCATTTTATACATATTTTTTGGTTGACTTTTCTTTGTTAAATGGCATTTAAATATATAAAATAAATATCAAAAATATAAATTTTTTTTTACTGTGGTTGCAAATATAAAAAAAAATTATGAATATTTCTATATGTGACATGGCACCAGAGTTAAGTTAGGGTTTTTCAAAATTTTGACACACGGAGCTCAAAAGGTTCGCCATCACAGTCCTAGTTCATGGGTCAATGCTCAACCACAGAGACATATCAGCGGGACTTGAATAAGTTTTCAACCCTGTCTGAGCCTGCTTCCTTCTTACTCTCCCTGGTTGATGAGACACAGGTCCCACTCCGAAGATGCTGATAGTGGAGAGACAGTCCCCCACCTTTGGAAAGCCTTCAGTTTCACAGAGGAAGCATTATTTTCCGTGCTGCCTTGTCCTACAATTCTCTCTTTAGTTTTGCTATATTTGTCTTTGTGTTTCTCCCAGGTAGCTTGGGAATGGTGTCAGAAGTGACTGGAGATACAGACAAGAAACAGACTTAAGTGTAGCTCCCAAATCACAGGGAGGGGTAGGGAAGAAATTTGAAAAGGGGCAAGGTAGGGTTAATAAGGGAAGTTATTTGGATGATGGAAACATAAGTTGAGGGGGAAAGGCTGGGGTGGGAGGTGGAGAGGAGTGCCTTCTAATTAATGACTGTTCAAGGTTGGAGGAGAGGAAGAGGCCGAAGACTCAGCCTGAGGGTTCGAAGAGGTGCAACAGTAAATTCATGGGATCAGGTAGTGAAGGGACATAAACAATAACATGGCCCCAAATCCCTAAACTCCTATGGGGAGACAAGGCGTCTGCTCTGGAAAGAATGGCCTCCTGCATCTGCAAGGTGAGAGGGGGTGGTGTGTGCCAAAATGTTGGTAAGGGCAGGGCAGAGAGAAGTGCTTGAAGGGCCTGAGGTCTGGGTCTGGGGTGTCTGGAGGGGGATAAGGGGTTGGGGAGATGCAGGACTCGTTCTGGGCTCTAAAGGATGTTTCCATTTGGGGATTTGATTAGGTCCTGGCTAGGAGGAGCTGTTGAACAGGGCATGATCTGGTTGAGAGGAGAGTGGATATTGGGGTCACCATAGGGAAAGGGGGTGATTGGTTAGTGGAGGCCCAAAATGCCAGGCAGAGCAGTTTGGCCTGGATTTGCAGCCTCTGAGCAGACCTGGTAGATGTGCAGATGCAGGTCTGCCTATTTTGGGGTCACTTTTCCTTTTACTGTGACACAAAAAAGATGGAGAACACATCCTGATGTGAGGGTGTCTCTATGTTGTGTGTCCCACCCTTGGGTGCAGGGGTGTATGTGTGATCATCTGGCCTGGGTGCATTTCTCTGTGGTGTGAACGTGTTTGGTTGGGTCTGTTGTATGTCATTGAGTAAGTGTGTCTGTATTTCCATGCTGTGTGTGGGTAGATGGAGGGTCTATTTTATGGATCTGTGTAGGTGTGTCTGAGTTGTACGTCTTAGTGTATGTGTGTGTGAGAGAGAGAGAGAGAGCTATAGATCTGAGTTGTATGTGTCTTCGTGTGTGTCTGAGTTGTGTGTGGGATCTGAACTGTGTGTTTCTGTCTCATTCTGGGTTTCTGAGTGGTGAGTGGGTGATAGGGTAAGGGACAGGGGGGCCTTGCCGTTGCCACTGGCTGTCTATAATGCATACAGGGCCAATTCAGCTGCTCCGCTCCTAGACTGTTGTCCCTGAGTGAATGACCTCTCATTGGGCAATAATTAACTTGTCCCCGTGAGAAGAATTCAAACTGTGTTGGTGAAGGGGGTGGGACCTGTTTGAGGCAGGCCTTATTGCCAGAGAAAGGAGGAGGTCTGAAAGGGGGTCCTATAAGCATGTGTGTTGTTATCATTCCCTCCTGTCCACCCTGCAGGTCAGTCACCCTGTCCTGGATGCTATTCAAAATATTTAGCAACCAGTGAGGAATAGAGATTGACCAGTCCAGACACAAGCCGTGCCCTGAATGGAGCAGTCCTGGAGGCCATGCCATGCCAACCATTGTCTCTCTAGTTGCTGGACAATGGGAACGGATTCCAGGAGAAGGACTGGGAGGGATACAGGGGCAGTGCAAGGGAGCTGGGGGAGCTTGGGCAGTGTCTGTGAACCAGCTGTCATGGAAATGTTTCAGACTTTAACAGCTAATGTGCAGCTAAATCTCTGCTTGCCTTGACCTTTGAGCAGCTGCCAGGCCAGCCCTGGGTGTCCTTGACCCCTCCCATGGGGAGAACAAAGGACCATCCTCTTCTGTTGTCTAGAGGCATGGGGGAAGTGAATGATGCCAAACTACAGAAATTCCAGTGACCTTGTCTGTTTCAGTTTTCTTTATTGGCTATGATCTGACACTTGCTGAGGTGAGAGGGAGCCTGCAGGGGGCAGGAGCTGAGGGAGGGGATGGATCAGTGAGGGGTTTGTGGACAAAGAGAAACCCCTTCCCCCCAAAGATAAAGACAAGAAGGTGATGGGGTCCTGAACTGATCCTATCCTCTGGATTCAGACCCATGCAAAATAAATATCCCCAGAAATGAAATCATCTACTCTGAAATTAATATCCCAGTTCTCTGAGGCCTGGCTCCTGCATCCCTCATGGTTCCTTCCTCTTGGGCTCCCTCTGATAGGGGCTGGGAGCTGGGGGCTGAGATGAGAAGGTCCCTTCCACATGCACAAAGGTCCCTTCCACAGTGTCAGCTCCATGGATGTAAAACCTTTTATTACAAAAACCAATAACTTAAGTCAGTTTTGTACAAAGTCAGTAGGATGTCTGCCCAATGGGCAGTCTAAGCTTCCATTGCCATTCCAGGAGAGGATAGGAGTCTTGGTCCAGAGCATCTGGGGACTACCAAGGGCCAGCCAGACAGCTGGAGCACTATGTCCAAACCAATGGGGTGTGGCTGAGTGAGGATTCATGCAGTCCATCTAGCTGGGCCAGGGTCGGTACAGGCTTGCCTCCTCTGGGAGCATTGGGTCACCCCTGGGGACAACATGGCCAAATCATTGCAGCCAGCTTCTGCCCAGGCTACAGCTGATCTCTGCTTGGGCTGGAGCAGGTCGGCTCAGCAAAAGCATGTCTTCGAGGAGTCCAGCGATGTCAACATCTCCAATGATAGGGCGAAAGAAGAGGTCCCCAAGCAAGCTGGGTGGAATGGACTTGAGGGTGGAGGCCATGAGGAGGACACGGGCCAAACGGCCTTGGCCTGCTGGGCACCAGGGCTCCAGGACCTCACATAGTGCTCGATGAGCCTCCTGCTGCAGATGCCAGATGTGGGAGGAGGCATGGAGGCCTGGCATGTCTGTAGGCAGAGGGTAAAGAGGGGTGATGAGCTCCCCACTCCCTGCCACCACAGTGAGACTGGCCCCAGACCTGAGGCCACAGCTCAGCCTTTGAGGCCCATTACTACCTCCTCTATTTACTTATTTATCATTTTATTCATCCATCCATTTATGGAGAGGCAGTATAGAGTAATGGTGAAGAGCCAGGCTGCCTGAGTTTGAATCCCAGGCTATCATTTATTAGCTGTGTGACCTCGGGCAAATTATGTCATCTCTGTGCCTTGTTTTCCTCATCTGTAAAATAGGTACAGCCTAGCCATTTTGGCTCAGTGTATAGAGCATCAGCCTGCAGACTGAAGGCTCCCGGGTTTGATTTCAGTCAAGGGCACATGCCGGGGTTGCGGCTCAATCCCCTGTAAGGGGGCGTGCAGGAGGCAGCCGATCAATGATTCTCATCATTGATGTTTCTATCTCCCTCTCCTTCCTTCTTCTCTGAAATCAATAAAAATATATTTTAAAAATAAAATAAAATAAAATGGATATAAATACCTGTCTCTTAGACTTGTTATGAGCTGTATATGTAAAACCATAGAATTGAGTCTAACATATGGTAAGTGTAGTAGGAGTATTTCCCTACTATTATTATAATTAATTACTATAATTTACACATTTCTTAAGGGCCTCGTGGTGCGTGGTGAGGACTTATCATCTAGATGCTCTCCAGATTACAAAGAACACTACCTCTATCCATTGCTCTCCTCGCCAAATTTTATAAAGGCTCCTACCTCTCCCCCCGCACATCCACTCACTTTCATTCCTCTATATGATCTTTCTGAACCCACCGATTACCTGTGATTGAAGCACAGCTGAATCTGCCCCCTGCCCCTCTCCTACTCCTACCCTCCTTGTGGGTCAGGGAAAATTTTGGGGGGCAGAATGGCAAGGGCCAGTCTTTGGTGTGAACAGACCTGATTTCTGCCCCTACCTGGCTGTGACCTTCAGCAAGTCACTTAGCCTCTCTGAGCCTCTTTCATGAGATGACTGCTGTAATAAGGACACAAAGAGATAACAAATGCCAAACCCTTAGAAGGTGCCTTCCCTGGCTGGGCCCTGCCCCCCTCCAGCCTTGGCCCTCATCCTGGAGTGTCCAGGAGCTCACCAGGGTTGAAGAGGATGGTCCCTTTCAGGTAGGCATACTCCTTAGGGCTCAGCTCCAGGCTCCAGAAGGACTCCAGGCAGCACTGAAGCCACTGCACCGCAGCCAGGGAGGGCCGAGGCAGATCCTGCTGCTGGCCGCTGCCTGCATTGCTGCTGGGCTCCTCCAGCAAGATCTTCTTGAGTATGCTGGGAACCGGGGCCTCTACCACCTCGAAGGTCACAGTGTCTTGGGCCAACCCAATCAGGAAGAGGGAGCTCCAGCAGTCCCGCAACAGCTGCTGCTGATCCTGGAAGGGCAGCTGGCAGAAGGATGGCAGGTTCCTGAGGAAGACCACTGTCTTGGCCAGAACGTCCAAGGCCTCCCGGCAGGTGCGATGAGGAGCACACAGCTGGACAGGCCGGTGCTGCTTGCAGAGGCAATGCATACGGGCTGGGGGCACAGCAGGCCTGGCCCTGAGGCTGGGGCTCAAAAGTGCATACAGAATGGCTGGGCGCCCTGCAGCATGCTGGCATGGACAGGTCCCCGGCTGGCTGGAGTTCATGGTTGAGAATCTGTTCCTCCTTCCTCCCAGCTCTCCCGCCCTCTGATCTGTGCTGTGGGTGCTATTTATATCCCTACTGGTAGGAGGGGGGAATGGTTCAACAACCTTGACTCTAGAAAGTCATGTTCATTGAAAAAAAAAAAAAAAAACAACCACCACACACTGACCCTGGCAGGACTGGTGGGGAAGTGCTGGGGGAGGGGACTTGGAAGCTCCACGTGGCCCTGATATCACTTTAGTCAATGAAGTGGATGGTGCAGGGCACGGGGCCGCCCGTTCGCTGTCCCGGCTATCCCTTATCGGATGACTCAAGTGGATAAACAGGGTCATTAACCCAAGCTGTACCAGGGCACCAAGGCCTCAGGTGCACATTCAGCAGGTGGCCATGGCAGGTGTCCCTGCTGGTGCCTGCAGGACCCTTGCTAAGCTGTGCTGTCAGCTCCAGAGCTAGACAAGCCTTGAATACAAGGCCCAACCTGGAAGTGCCTTATCATTAGCTTGTTTGCCTAACCTTGGGGCTCAGCTCCTGTTTTTTGGTAAGGAACAGGCTACAGGGAAGGGAGCCAGGATCCTGGGGGGCTGGAAGGACTTTGCCCACTGTGCAGTTTAGGAGGCCCCTTCCTCTAACTCCAGTTCTGGGGGCCCTGCAGAAATGAGATCCTTAAGAACTCTCTTTCCCCAGTCTGGATTCCTAGAACTCCTGAGAGGCTGTATTTGCTGAGAAGCCCTTGCAGAATGATAATAAAATGTGGCTGCTGTTTATTGAATACCTACTATGTGCCAGGAACTTTCTACTCGAATATTCAGGGCTTCCCCACAAGTAAGATTTTTACGTTTTAAGACTCAAAGAGGTGAAGTGAATTGCCCAAGGTCATGCCACTAAGAAGAGTGAGAGCCCAGATCTGTCTGATTTCAAAGTCCTTGCTTGATCTTCTGGACCCATTGGCCCAATTGTGCAGGCAGAGCTGTGTGGCCTGAGTTCCTCAGAGTTGGTGGCTACCTGGGCCCCCACCTTGATACTGCCTTGTCTGAAGATGTTGCCCACCTATGATCTAGGCAGAAATGTTGTTCTGCCACTAGCCACAGGCAGCCTGGCTCTTCACCATTACTCTATACTGCCCCTCCATAAATGGATGGATGAACAAAATGATAAATAAGTAAATAGAGGAGGTAGTAATGGGCCTCAAAGGCTGAGCTGTGGCCTCAGGTCTGGGGCCAGTCTCACTGTGGTGGCAGGGAGTGGGGAGCTCATCACCCCTCTTTACCCTCTGCCTACAGACATGCCAGGCCTCCATGCCTCCTCCCACATCTGGCATCTGCAGCAGGAGGCTCATCGAGCACTATGTAAGGTCCTGGAGCCCTGGTGCCCAGCAGGCCAAGGCCGTTTGGCCCGTGTCCTCCTCATGGCCTCCACCCTCAAGTCCATTCCACCCAGCTTGCTTGGGGAACCTCTTCTTTCGCCCTATCATTGGAGATGTTGACATCGCTGGACTCCTCGAAGACATGCTTTTGCTGAGCCGACCTGCTCCAGGCCAAGCAGAGATCAGCTGTAGCCTGGGCAGAAGCTGGCTGCAATGATTTGGCCATGTTGTCCCCAGGGGTGACCCAATGCTCCTGTGCAGACCCTGGCCCAGCTAGATGGACATATGCGTGCATGTATTTAGGTATGAACTCATGGTCTCCTATTTTATTCAGTGGTATGTAATCTGTTATTATCCTTATTTATTTTGATGCCAGGTTGTCACAGATTTGGCCAATGGGAGTCCCATTCAAGCTGGAGTCTATATCCTTTTGACATTCCCCATCATTCTCTGAACACCCTTTATTTTCTGGTATAACAAGATGTCGTTTTTCCAGCCCCTGAAGTCAACCACTATTCCAAGAAGCTCTAATTTAATCTTTTAGTGGAGAATAGTATTTAAAAACCAAGATCTGCTCATTGCTTTTATGGTGTATCTGCTCCCAGACCCTCCCAGAGCTAAGGAATGTAGGTGCATGTGCTTGCACACACACACACACACACACACACACACACACACACACACATTTCTATTTAGTTCTATACCTATACATATATGTAATAAAAAACATGAGCCCTAGTCAGGTTGGTTCAGTGGATGGAGGTCGGCTGCAGACCACTTATAATACTGCTTATAGGTTTGTAGCAGGAATTTTGATAAGTTCTACTTTGTGTAATTCCTACAAAATCGAACTCAAAGGGTCCCGGGTTCGATTTTGATCAAGGGCACGTACTTTGGTTGCAGGCTTCTCATATGCAAGAGACAACCAATTGATGTGTTTCTCTCTCACATTGATGTTTCTCTCTGTCTTTCCCTTTCTCTTCCACTCTTCCTAGAAATCAATGGAAAAATATCCTTGGGTGAGGATTAACCAGAAAAATAAAATAAAATAAATAAAATAAAATAAAATAAAATAAAATAAAATAAAATAAAATACATGAGGTCAGACTATTATCTGCAATGCTAAATCACCATAATAGGATTTATTCCAGTTTTCACCTTTCTGTATTTACACCTCCCTTCTCTGACACTGAGAAATCCGGCCTCCATTATTTTTAATTTATTAACTTGTTGGATCAAGCCCCTCTTTGTAACCAATCTCTCATCTCTGGCCCACCCCATCCCATGAGAATTACCTACCTCACCCCACTTGGGCTCTGATATCTTGGGTCAGGCTGCCCCCTCCCACTCAGGGTCCCCTTCTTCACCCTGCTGAGTCCCTGTCACCCCATGCCAGGTCACCGCTCCTCGTGGACGCCCTCCTCACCCTGCTGGGGCTCTGACTTCCACTTGGGCCACTGTGGCTCCTTCCCCCTCTGGCACATACCTCTACCCTATTCTGCCCTACCTAATAGTTTTAGGACTAAAATTTTCAGGATGAGCCCTGACCAGTTTGGCTCAGTGGATAGAGCTTCGGCCTGCGGACTCAAGGGTCCCAGGTTCGATTCCGGTCAGGGGCATGTACCTTGGTTTCGGGCACATCCCCAGTGGGGGGTGTGCAGGAGGCAGCTGATCAATGTTTCTCTCTCATCGATGTTTCTAGCTCTCTATCCCTCTCCGTTCCTCTCTGTAAAAAATCAATAAAATGTATTTTTAGAAAATTTTCAGGACGAGAAAGGAAGAGGAGGAGGTAAAACTGTCAATGATCTTTTTTTTAATGATTAGCTTTATGTCAATTTTATCTAAATTTTTAAAATATATTTTATTGATTTTTTACAGAGAGGAAGGGAGAGGGATAGAGAGAGTCAGAAACATCGATCAGTTGCCTCCTGCACACTCCCCACTGGGTATGTGCCCACAACCAAGGTACATGCCCTTGACCGGAATCAAACCTGGGACCCTTGAGTCCGAAGGCCGATGCTCCATCCACTGAGCCAAACCGGTTAGGGCAAACTGTCAATGATTTTTAAAAATAAATTTCTCCAGTGAGAATAGATGAATCTCTCTTTTCTCTTGCATGCTTGATAAAAATATTTCATTCTTAATAGTCAGGATACATAAACATGCCATTTCACACATAGATGAATATGCCACTTGTAATACTGCTTATAGGTTTGTAGCAGGAATTTTGATAAATTCTACTTTGTGTAATTCCTACAAAAAAGCAAAAGCAAAAGCAAAACAGAGCATGCTGCATTTATAATTGTATATGCTGCATATTCCTTATAAGAGAGATTTTTTTTAGTTGATCTCAATATGAAATGTGATAATTGATAGGATTTTTCACAGCTTTGCTTTTGTTCCACACATATCCTTGTTGCTCCTCTACTACCCACATACTTCCAGGTGTCTTGAGAATCATTCATATTGGGAAGCAGGATTAGAGTGGGAAGACACAGTGGTCTGAGCCAATTGTAGTTTTATAATTTTATTTTTTCAAATTAAAAAGAAAAACATAGCCTGGCTGGTATGGTTCAGTGGTTGAACGTCGACCTATGAACCAGGAGGTCATGGTTTGATTCCTAGTGTGTGGCATGCAGGACGCAGCTGATCGATGATTCTCTCTTGTCATTGATATTTCTATCTTTCTCTCCCTTCCTCTCTGAAATCAGTAAAAATATATTTAAAAAGAAAAATGAAAAATATACACATGACTCTTAAGAAGACAGTGCTGGGGCCTCTCCTAGTGTCTTGAATGGGCCCAGGCAAGTACAAGGCCCTAAAGTTCGAGTTTCACTAGCTTTACAGAAAGTCTGCCTCTAATAGTGCCTTTCTTTTATAAAAATATATTTTTCTTGATTTCAGAGAGGAAGGGAGAGGGAAAGAGAGATAGAAACATCAATGATGAGACAGAATCATTGATCAACTGCCTCCTGCACACCCCCGACTGGGGATCGAGCCTGCAACCCGGGCATATGCCTTGACGGGGAATCGAGAGGGGGACAAGGCCCTAATGATGTTACTCCTTGGAAGCCATGGTCAGTACTTTGGAATTTATCTTGAATGCAATGGCAATCCATGAAGGGCTAATTTTAAGCAAGGAAGCGACAGGTCTGGCTTATCCTTTAAAAAGATTGCTCTGCTGAAACCGGTTTGGCTCAGTGGATGGAGCGTCAGCCTGCGGACTGAAAGGTCCCAGGTTCGATTCCGGTCGGGGGCATGTACCTTGGTTGCGGACACATCCCCAGCGGGGAGTGTGCAGGAGGCGGCTGATTGATGTTTCTCTCTCATCGATGTTTCTAGCTCTCTGTCTCTCTCCCTTCCTCTCTGTAAAAAATTAATAAAATATATTTAAAAAAAAAAAAAAGATTGCTCTGACTGCTGGGGGGGCGGGGTGGGATGGAGTAGGAATGGATGGACTATAAAGGGATAAGAAAGGAGGTAAGACCAGTTAGGAAGCTGTAGGAGTATTATTTAAGCAAGAGATGATGATGATGTAGACAGCCAGGTGAGAGGGGGTGGAATCAGATGATATTTTAGAAGAAGAGCTGACAGGACTTACTAATGGATTACATGAGACTAGATTTTTGGCTTGTGCAAATAAGTGGATGAGTGGACGTTTGGGCTTTGG